CGAGACTGATGGGTTGCTATGCCCTGGCCCCAAAGTCTATTTTTGGTATTCCCTTCGGACTTCCATGCTCTGTTCCCCTTGCTGCTCTGTTGCATGCCCTTAGTGTTTTGCCTCCGTGTGGTGGTGTTTGATCAGGTGCAATTCCCATCCTGTGTCTCCAGTGTTGTCCCCTGTAGGCCTATGGGTCAGTAAGGGATGTTGTGTCTTGTAGTGGGGCCGGCCTTATGGTCCTCTGTGGATTGGCTGCTCTGAGCAGGGATGTCATCCTCAAGCCTTGGTGGGCCAGGGTGTGCTCCATTCTCTCTTCCTCTTCCTTAATTTGCTCATATGTTCTCGGAAACGGTTTTAAGTAATTTAGATAACCTGGTTTGAGGTCTTGGTGGGTAATGAAGGTTACAGAGTGAATCTCATAGTTTTATCTGAATTAAATTTTAGTTACAAAATACAGATGACTGTTTGCCAATTGAATTACTATTTAACAATGAAAGGAAAAAAACAGGAATTCAAAATGAGTTTGTAACTCCTTGTAATTACTGCATGTGTTAGAGGAACACTTTTCTTTTCATGTGCAATTATTGAAGTATTTAACAAATAGGCAGAAAAGTATATGGTTTGGATTATGAAAAAGTGAGCCCACTAAGATAATTCATTACCCAGGTTACAAAACAGACCATCATCAGCACGGTAGGCCCCTTTCCAGTCCCTGCCCCACCCTTTGCCCCAAAGATCAACACTGCCATGATTGTTACACACCACTGCAAGCTTGTTCAACTGTCTGTAAATTGGAGAACACATTCTGATTTAGAATACTTTCAATGTTGTGTGATCTATCAAGAAATTCACCACCTCTAGAAAGAAAGGAATTGTACACTGGTTTTTAGATTTCCATTGAAAAATAATTGTAGACTCACATGAAGTTTAAGAAATTGTATAGAAAATTCCTCTTTTACCCTTCCCAGCTCTCCCACCTTACATAATCTCAGTGCAGTGATCAAAACTAGAAAGTATAACTAATACTTTTGATTCAACTAATTTTGATTTCATGCGTGCTTGCCTGCAGTCATTAAAAAAAATCAGTAGTTCCAGGAAAGTGTTATCACATGTCAGGAAGCATGTACCTACCACGGCCTCCGCACACAGATTGCAGTTCTCATGGTATCCCTTGTTAGCCACATAGGGAACTCTGATATAAGGCTAAGTTTTGGGGTCTCACAAAAGCTAGCTTTATATAAGAGCAAGCCATTCAGGTTAGTAAGTCACAGATGTATTATCATAGGTTAGTATGGGCCCTGCTAATGTGAAATACTCTGACTTTCACAGTAAGTGATTCCTGCATTCAAGTAGGCATTTTAGTTTCTAGTCCATTTTGTTACCTGGTTCTGCATGGTCATCCTCTATAGTTAAAGTGTCAGCAAGCAAAAAGATCTCTCTTCAAGGACTAAGGTGAACCTGACCCAAGTCATGGTATTTCCATTCATGTTAAATATATGTGAAAGCTGGACAATGAATCAAGAAGACCGAAGAAGAATAGATGCATATGGAGCGTGGTGTTGGTGAAGATTATTGAAAGCATCATGGATGTTCCAAAGAACAAACAAACCGGTCTTGGAAGGAGCATAGTTAGAAAGCTCCTTAGAAACAAGGAAGGTGAGGTTTTGTCTCATGTGCTTTGGACATGTTATCAAGGGAGACCCGTCCAAGGCCATCATGCTGGGTAAAGTGGAGGGTCAGCAGGAAGGAGGAAGACCCTCATTGAGATGGATTGACATAGTGGGCACTACAATGGTCTAAAAAACATAGCAAAGCTTGTGAGGATGGCACTGGACTGGGTAGTGTTTTGTTCTATTGTACATAGGGTTGTAAAAACAGCATTTGCACTAGTTAGCTATTGATATCTAACCAATTACTCTCAAAGTTAGCAATTGAAAATTATTTTCGTTGCTACCTCACAACTGTAATTTTGTTCCTGTTATGAATCGTTATGTAAATATCTGATATTTGGCATGTATTTTCATTGTTACAAATTGAACATAATTAAAGCATAGTGATTAATCACAAAAACAATATGTATTTATATTTTGTGAAATATTCATTTCTACTGACAAATAAATGAAATTTTGTCTTGCAGCCTGGTGTAGCATGGGTAACAGTCTTAATATAACAATAGTAAACTACATTGCTACATTTTGCAACAATATGTATAAAAAGCCATTAAGATTGAGATAGCTTCTTTCTCACCAGATCAGAATTTCTCAGGGCAGTCTTTGCAAGAGCACAAAGTGATCATCTTCCACAACAAGTCTGCCTCTGTATTTAGAATTGATAACCAAAAAGCTGGAAAACCCTGCTTCAAAAAGAGAAGTTGTTGGAAGTGGAAGAATAAGGCGCAACATAGTCTCAGACAGAAAAGGATCTGACTGCAAACACTTGATCCAGAACTTTGTAACTGGCATTGAAGAAAAATCAGTTCTGGCTGCATCGCTGTTAATAAGCTCAATGAACTGCTCTGTGCTGTCTCAGGAACATCTTCAACTCTGACTGGGAATGGGCTTCTGGCAAGTGCAAATGGGGTTCAGCTAGATTTGGAAAATGTGATGAAATTTCGTCTGCAAGCATTTGCAAGTGTTCTTTCACAGAAATTATCGTAATCCTTTTGTCTGGTTCAATGTCAGGTTCCTGAAAGAAAGCAGATAAGGTAGGCAATGTATATATTTTATTTTCATCCAATTTTTTTTTTTTTGGCAAGCTGAAGTTTCATTTGGTTTAGTCGTGTTTTCCCAGCCAAATCAAGGTATGTTGCATTTGGTCCTGGCAGTGATAAATTTAACTCATTCAAGATGGCAAAGATGTCAACCAAGTAAGCTGTTTTCTGCAGTTCACTTTTATCGCTGAAAAGTGCTTTGAACTGCGGTCTTGCTTTCTGGTTAAAAAACGTTTTGAGTTCATCACAAAGCTCAAGATCACGTTTTAAAACTTCCTCTTGACAACTATCTCACTTCAGTGTGAAATAGCAGAGCATTGTTTGGCGCATGGAACTCGTACCACAGTTGGGAAAACAGTCGACTGTTTAAAGTGCTCACCTTTACAAAATTGACAGAACTTATGACGCTGTTCATTACTTCCTGTAACTTTTGTGGCAGCATCTCTTGCTAATATTTGCTGATGAATCATTCAGTGAGTTCCAATGACTTTTATTGACTCATTCAGTACCAGACATTGAAATCCAGATCGACATCCTAGCATAGCTGGAGCACCATCTTTGCAAACACCACAAACCTTTTCCCAAGAGATCTTCTGCTCTTTCAGAAATGAACCAACTGTGTCAAATACATCACGTGCAGTAGTTGTCATTTCAAGAGGTTTGCAAGAAAGAAACTCATCTTTAAAGTTGCCCTCACTAATATACCTCACATAAACCAGTAACTGAACAACAGTTTGCAATGTCTGTAGATTCGTCAAGCTGGATACTAAAGATTGGAAGTGGAGCAGATTTGATTTCCTGGATGACCTGATCAAGAATATCAGTAGACATGTCATCTGTTCTTCTGCAGACATTGTCGTTAGATAAGGAAATTGCACACAATTTCGTAACAAATTCGTCTCCAATCATAACTCGAACAATGTCTTTGGCCGCTGGCAACAGTAAATCCTCAGCAGTGGTGTGAGGTTTCATAGCTCTGGCGATTCTGAGTGCCACCAAATGTGAAGCTTCAGCAGCTGCTACGTTTTGTTTGTGGTACTTGCCACCAGTGTCAAGTCTGGCTTTCTTGAGTCCATCAGCTTTGCTTCTAAAATAGTTGGTATCTTGCTGGCAAAGCTTGGATGCTTGCTATCAAAATGGCGTTTTAGTTTGTTTGGCTTCGTGGATTTGGCTGATAGAACTTCACAATAGATAACACATTGCAGTTTCTCAATTCCTGCTGTAATTATTGAGGTAAAACCATCATGTAAATCCTCACTATATTTTTTCTTAATGTTCTTCCCTAAATAATAAATAACAATACCTTTAATAATACAAAAGATGACACATGGCATCGTTCGGTCAATACAGTTCATTAAAAAGTTTCCTATGATTTACCATTTTCTGTGTTGTTTTTTTTTACAAACCTGTTACTATCACAAGGGGGCAGTATTCACATCAACCACAGCTGAATATAAAAAGACTGATCAGCATCCAGATTAAGTTCCCATGGTACAGATAGATATATATTTTTGCAGTAGTTGATGATTTTACAGTACATGATTTTACATTTACCCAGTAATTATAATTCATGAAGTGTTGTTTTACCTCTAATACTGGTACTTTCAACACAGCAGCTGCTTTTTACACCGTAGCTGCTCTCTACACAGTAGCTGCTCTCTACTCGTGTGAATGGTCCGCATAAGTACATTATGACACCAACCCTGTCACATACACCTGTATTTGTATGGGGTGTATGTGATGGGGTTGGCGTGATGATGTCATCATGCTGGATACTCATGTGGGCGTATCTGCATGTGAGCGGACCACCTGGAGTCAAAGGAGCGGTGTCTTGGTTCCTAAGACCATCGATATACGTGTTTTCCGATGGTCTTAAGCGACCCCTGTGAAAGGGTTGTTTGACTCCCAAAGGGGTCACTACCCACAGGTTGAGAACCACTGCTGTAGAGAGATTCGAACCTGTAACCTTTTGGTTAACAGCTGGGTGTCTTACCATTTGAGCGACCCAGGAACTCCCACACTTTATGGTAGATTATTTGGTTAACAAACTGCATAAATGCCTTCTTTGTCTGGAGAGTGTCCAGCTAACTATCTTACACATGAGACTGACAAATTATCGGTGCCTTTGTTCCTTGTCTCATTTAAATTGATATAAAACTATAGCAATGTTACTAAGCCTTAGAAGTTACACATATCTCCATAGAGTGACTTACATTTTAGAACTCAAATTGCCTAATGAGCGGATCCTTTGTTAAAATGATGTAATAGGTTTGAGTGAATCACTTGAAAAGCATGTCCCAATTCATATTTGTAGGTTTGCTGAGCTACAAAGCTATACTCAGCTCAACTTCAGACCCATAGAAGATGCGAAATGTGACCTGGTCATCGAAAAGCCAACCTACTTCATGAAATTTGATGCAGGTGAGATTTTAATTTGTCTGCAATTTCACTTTTGGTTAGTGTAAATGTATATGTAACATATCTATGTAACAAAACATTTAATATGTCAGCATTTTTCACACACACACAGTTCCAAACCCAAAGTCAAACCCATTGCCATTGAGTGAATTCCTACTCATGGCAACCTGTATGGTGTTTCTCAGGCTTTGTGCATATTGTGAATTAGGTGGGAGGGTTTACATTTCAGACCATCCACTCTGCCATTCAAGCCACACATCCCACCCCATATGCCATCCCTCCTTCGCTCCCCAGACTTTTCTCTGTCCTCCTTCCCTGTCAGCCTTGTAGCCCGTTGCTTCATCTTCCTACCCTGCCCTCTTCCCTTGGGACCCTCCAGAGTCGGTTCCCTTTGGTCTGCAATTCTTTGTCTTGGTTTTTATCCCTTATAACTTTCTTTTTGTGAACAGTATAACATTAAAGAGAAGATTTTTATTGTTAGTTTCTTGTCTGAAGAAGTAGATGAGCTAGTTGAAATTTTTCCTTTATTTTATTCCTTGGGTACTAGAGCAGATCTTCACATAAAATGACCTAATCAAAGAGAAAATTGAGGGAAGAGGGTATATATAAACTTTTTATAATTAACTACGCTCTATCTGGTTTCTCAAATGGCTTGATTTAGATTGTGCTGCACTAGAATTTTCAAAATTAAAAGTCATGTGTGCATGATGGGAAGGAGCCGTGGTGGTGCAGTGAGTTAAGTGTGAAGCTCCTAACCTGAAGGTTGGCAGTTCAAACCCACCAGCCACTCCTCTGGAGAAAGAGGAAGCAGTCTGTTTCGGTATAAGATTCATGGTCTCAGAAACCCTGTAGGCACAGTTCTACTCTGTCCTATGCAACTCGACAGAAGAGGGTCTGCCTTGCCTGGTGTGTTAGACAGGGTTCTCTAGAGAGATAAAACCAAATTGCTGATAATTTAATATAGTTATTTATAAAGATAATTAGATATATAACAAATGAACTGTTAAATCATATACAGATAAACATATAATACAAGAAATAAACAGTTAAATTATAAAGCACTACAAATGGCTCAATGCAACTCACTCCCGTGAGACAGTTGTGAGAGACTAGCAGTCCTTCAAGTCTAGTCTGCTGCCAGATCT